GGTTCTGTGGAGCAGTGAGGACATGAGCCTGGATTCAACTGGCTGTGGAGCTAAGAAGGAACAAACACTATGAAGAAGTTAGAAGATAAGAGAGAGAAAATACATACAGACTGAAGAGGAGTATGAGATTGAGGTGCAAAAGGAGCAAAAAGAGCAAGAGAGAGCAATTTTTGCTGGGAGGTCCCCAGGGTGATTGGAAGAGTTGAGAGACAGGGCACAGGGGCTGGGAATTATGGACCGTCACCACAATCAGTTTTGGAACATGTTCATTGTGTCCCAGAGAAGCACCATGCCCATTATCCAGCCGTTCTTCATTTCCCTTTCCCTAAGCCCAGACAACCACTGACGGGCTTTCCGTTCCATGGATGTACATATTTCTGGACATTTCCTGTAAGAGGAATCATGTAACCTGTGAACTTACGGAATAGCTGAGGGAAGCTGGGCGTGGTGGTCAGCATGAGCACCCCCACCCCTCCCCCACCTCCTCAGGGAACCTTGGGAGTTAGAGCCTTGGTGAGGGGCGCACACTCAGGTGACAGAGGGGAGGCCTGCCCTGTCTGAGTCAAGGGGGAAAGAGAAAACCCCACAGGATCCATCTCGGCCCCTCACAACAGCCATTGTGGGGGGGCAGGGGGCGCCAGAAGCTATGAGTGGCTGTGACGTCCACTAACTGACACTCGGAGGTCTGCAGTGAGGCCTTGCTCTGAGAGGTACACGCTCACGCCCGCAGAGGAGAGCTCACTCATGCCTAAATGATGGTGAGGATTGGATGGAGGACTGAGGGGACCATCCCTTCTAACTCAGGGAACTCGGGGAGTCAGAGCCTCGGTCTGAGTGTGGCACACTCAGGTGACAGAGGACGGGTCCACCCTGCCCAAATCGAGGTGAAGACCGAGGGGGATAGAGAGACCACTATGGGATCCACCTCCCCACTTCAAGACAGACAGGGTGGTGGGAGGGGCCAGAACGCTGGGAGGATGTGACGCCCACCAACTTCCTCTTGGAATTCTGATGTGAGGGCCTTGCTCTGCGGGGCGCACACTCTGGCTGGTGAGGGAGAGCCCAGACCCATCAAAGTTAAGGTGAGGACCCTGAGGTTGGACTGAAGGGACCACCGATGCACGCCATAAAATCCTTGAGGGGCCTATGCAGGGTGGTTAGAGGAGTACCCCACATTTCCTCAGGGAGCCTGGGAAATCACAGCCTCGTTCTGAGGGGGTGCACATTCAGGTCTGTGGAGGGAGAACCCAGTCCTGCCTGAGTTCAGGTGAGAGGGAGAGGGAGACTGGAGGGACCCACGGAATCCAGTCCAGCAGCCGCGTCAGGACTGAGAGACCGCAGGCCGCGTGGTCAGGCTGAGCACTGTCCCGGCAACCCAGGCCCCACGTCCTCAGGGTCGCGGGATTCAAGGACCTGGTGTGACACGAGCAAACTTGAGTCCGCAGAGTGGAGGGCCCAGACCTTGCTGCTCGTCAAGATGGGGATCCTCGGGGAGGACAGAGGGCCAGTGGGCCCCAGAAAGGAGGGAACCCGCACAAGCGGGCCCCGCCACCATTGCTGGGAGACCCCCGGGAGGGAGGACCCAGCACATTGTTTCCTAACCTCCGCATGCGGGTCTCCGTGAGATCCTGGGCTTGGCGTAATAGAGCAAGAATTCAGGTCAGCAAGGTTGGGGGTGGGGTGGGGCACGGACTTCACCAGGAATAAAGGTGAGGATCCTGTGGGAGGACTGAGGGACTCTGAACCCTAGTTCTGAGGGAACCCCACAACACCTGCAGTGCTGTCAGACCTGGGGTGGCAAGAGGTGAGAGCACGTGGCATCCTGACTTCTGCATCCGGGTCTGTCTGAGAGAGACTGGGCACCTGGAATAAGGAGCCTTTGGTCAGCACAGAGAGGTGTCAGGTCCTTCCTAAGTCAAGGTGAGGACCCCAGCGAGGACTGAGGGACAGAGGACCCGAACAGTGTCAGCACTGGGAGGCTCTGGAGCTACTCTCCAATGGGGCTTCTGAGCTCCCCCTGGAAATCTCAAGGAGGCTGGGGGTGCTGAGGGACAAGGACTTGGGGCAGCAGAGGGGAGGCAGTAGGCCTATGGGGAGTGGAGGTGGGACCCAGAGTGAGTGAGGACTGAGGTCCCACAACAGAGAGAGCCCCTTTGCCCCTGTTCTTGGTCTGGGAGGCCCCAGGGCAGGTGAGCAGTGAAGTGTTTCCTGACTTCTCCCTCAGGGTGTGTATGTGGGAGGGCGGGGGCTGGTGGTCAAGGGCCTTGGCGTGTGGAGTGTGGCCTCAGGCCGGCAGAGGGAGGAGGGGAGGCCCCTCAGGAGGACAGCCCCTTGGTGCAGTGGGAGGTACCACGCACCCCAGAGAGGGCGGGAGCACGCAGAGTCCAGCTGTGGCCTGTCTCAGCCTGGAAGGACCCAGAGGCGGTTGTCCGAGTGCAGGCTCGCATAGACCATGGGAGGGAAGGTGGGGAGGCCTCAGGGGGTGAGGTCTTGCTTTGGGGGGGCATCAAGTCATCCCAGATGGGGGCCGGAGGCAGGCCAGGCCTGATGGGAGTAAAGATGACTAACCCACAGCAGGACTGAGGGCGCCCCAACCCAGAACAGAGGGGCTGCACCCTGACAGTCTCTTCTGGTCATGGGTAGGGTGGGGGTGAGGATGTGGATCCTCCTCACGTTCCTCTCCAGGTCTCAGGGAGGAGAGGACCTGGTTGGTCCGAGACGTCAAGTCATCCAGGGAGCCACATCTGGTGACCAGAGAGGAGTCCAGGTCCTGCCAAGAGTCCAGGTGAGGACCCGGGGAATCTCAATGACCAGACCAGAACGGGGGCTCAGGGAAGTGTGGGTTGCCCCTCCTGTCAGCCCTGGAAATCCTGGGCAGGGCTATCAGGCCGGGCCCTCCTCACTTCCAGATCCGAGGTCAGGAGGGAAGGGCTTTGGTCTCAGGGCCTCGATGCAGGTCAGGCCTGGCAGGGCTCCAGGTGAGGCCCAGGAACCTAGAGGCCCCTTTAGGACCCTAGAAGCCTTGGGCAGGTGTGGCCAGAGTGAGTGCAAATGGAACCTGAGACCCCAGAAAGAGGGGACCCCACAGGTCCTGACCTCACCCGACTGTCAGCCCTGAATGTCGGGGCTGCGGCAGCCACACCCTGGGCAGTCATCTCACACCCTCCTTCAGGTTCTTGGGGGTCACACCCAGGAGGCCAGCTCTGTGAGGCCCAAGAGCACCCCTAAACAGGAGCCTGTAAATCACCTTTGTCACGGCCACCGGGGGCGTTTCTCAGCTGACGCCTCCAGCACTGCCCTCACCTCCTGTTCCCAGTCCTGCCAACTCCCCACAGGTGTCACCATGTCTCTGGGTCAGAAGAGTGAGCCCTTGAAGCTCGAGGAAGACGTTCAGGGGCCCAGTGAGGCTCATGGCCTGCAGGATGGCCCTGTCCTAACGCTGCCCGGGGCTGGGAAGACGAAGAGGTGGCCTCCTTCGTGTCTGCCTCTGCCTTCCACTGCCACCCTGTCCAGGATAATCCAGAGCAGGCTGCTCTTGTGACGCCCAGTGCTTCCCAGGTCCCTTGCCGTGTCAGCCGCCCCTCCAGGGCCTGTCTTGCCTCTCTGTGCAACATAACCCCGGAGGAGGACATTACCCAACAAGCAGAGGGGCCAGGCAGCTCCCAGGAGTCAGCAGAAGCCCGGCCCCCCGCACTCCCCCCAACGCAGCACTGCAGGAGAAGTTGGCTGAGCTGGTGTGGTTCTTGCTCCAGTAGAGCAGCAAGGAGCCGACCAGCCAGAGGGAAATGCTGAGGGAAGTCCTTGGTAAGGGCCAGGAGCACTTCCCTGTGCTCTTCAGCCAAGCCTGCGAGTGCCTGCAGAGGGTCTTCGGCATCGATGTGACCGAAGCAGAGCCCAGTGGCGACACCCATGTCCTGGCCACCCCCCTGGGCCTCTCCTACGATGGGCTGCTGAGCCCTGAGCAGCTCATACCTAAGACAGGCCTGCTGGTGTTTGTCTTGGGCGAGACCCTCCTGGAGGACAGAGGTGCCTCCGAGGAGAGTATCTGGCGAGTGCTAGGGGGGATGGGGGTGTGTGCTGAGATGGCGCACCTTATCCTTGGGGAGCCCAGGGAGCTCCTCGCGGAAGTGTGGGTGCAGGAGCAGTACCTGAAGTACCGGCAGGTGTGTGCTAGTGACCCCCCCCCCCCCCGCTGCGAGTTCCTGCGGGGCCCCAGGGCTCACGCTGAGACTGACAAGATGGACGTCCTGGAGCTTATGATCAAGATCGACAGCGTAGATCCCAGGTGCGTCCCCGCTTTCTCTGGAGACGCTGTGAGCAAGGAGCAGGAGGAGGCCTGAGCCAGGGGGGCAGAGGGAGCCAGGGGTTCAAGGGGGCAGGGAGAGTTGGGGCACACGGTGCACATCCCGCCGGCCAACAGAGTGAAGGGCAGGACCCAGTTGTCTGCAGCAGCTGGAGAACGTGTGGCCCCAATAAACCATCGTCGGCTCCTGTCCTAATGGGAAAGATGGCGAGGACTTGGGTTTTGCACCAGGGCCTGAGAACAGGAGTCTGGGCCCCTGAGCAGGACCAGCCACGGGAGCAGCTGGAAGAGACCACGGTGAGCAGCGGGGGTGGAGGGTGGGCTGCCAACCTCGACTAGGCCGGCCAGCCAGCCGGGACCACCGTCTTCCGGGAGCGACTGGCACCCAGGGTCCCTCTGACCCGCGCCGTCCTCGTGCCACCCAAGGTGGGACTTGCCAGGCCCTGTCCCCCTGTGCAAACCAGGGGCCGGCACGGGGACTCCCCGACTGTGTGGGGGGGGGAGCGGCGCGGGCTCTTGTTTTCTCAACCCTTCCTGGCCCGGCCCCGTGGAACAGCGTGCCCGCCAGTGCACTTGGGCAGGCACCGCAATGCCACCGTCTACACCTTGGGAAGACAGAGAAGCTGGGGGCGCGGCACCCCCCCCCCAGGATCCATGGACTTCTCCAACATGGCCGGGAGCCCCTTTGTGATGTCACATGGCCAGCAGAGGGGGTGGTGACTCGCGCAGCCGGTTGCTGCCCTACGGAGACTCTAGAACTCTGCGGACGGCATATATTGGGCACGCCGCCCGGGCCGAGGGCATTCCCACACGAGGACCGCGGGCGGATCCTGGGGCGCGCACCCCCAAGGAGACTAGCTCGATGGCTGGCTCGGGCGCCAAGGAGGCGCGCGACGGGCAGCGGGCCTTGGCCGCGGCCGCGGGGCTGGCGGCGGCGGTCCCCTCGCAAGCATACCCCGAGCCAGAAGGGGACCCGGGGCGGGCGTCGGGGCAGGACGGCCACCCAGATCGGGGACCGGATCCGGGGCCCCAAGGTGCGCCCCAGCCCCAGGACCCGAACCCAGGCGCCGCCGGCCTGGGGGAGGACGTTCTGGGGCTCCCCTTCCCCAGGAAGCTCTGGATGATGGTGGAGGACAGCAGCCTGGCGTCCGTGCAGTGGAACGACGCCGGAGACGCCGTGGTCATCGACGAGGGCTTCTTCCAGACAGAGGTGCTTCAGCGGAGCGGCCCGGACAGAATCTTCGAGACGGACAGCTTGAAGACCTTCATCCGGCAGCTGCACCTGCACGGATTCAGCAAAATCCGCTCGCTGAGGGACAAGGGCCTGATGGTAACGCAGCGGCGCCCGGCCCCGGGTTCGGTCCCCCGCGCGTCCGGGGAGCGCAGGAGGGGCCGGGGGCGGGCGGGGGCGGACAGGGCTCGCGGCGAAAGGGGCCCTTTCTCCCCAGATCTACAGCAACAGCCGCTTCCTGAGAGGCAGGCCCGAGCTCCTGGACAGCTTCGAGAGCGCCGGCCCCGCGGGAAGGATGGCTCACCGGGGGCTCCGCGGGGCCGCGCCCAAGAGGAGGAAGATTTCGCAGGTGGCCACGAGACGCTCCCCGAGACTCCTTCAGCTCAACGCCAACAAAGAGGCCTGGAAGAAGACCCAGGAGGCCCCAGCTGCCCAGGGGCCCGGGGGCGCCCCGTCAACGCTCTTCTCTGGCGCCTGGCCCACGAGCGGCGTGGCGGGGAGCCCCGGGGGAGGTGGCTGCCCCGGAGAGCCAGGCGGCCCCCGCGGGGAGGGCACGTCCGGGAATGTCCTGTTTGCGTCCCGGGTGCCTGCTGGCCAGGAGGGTGCGGGGGAACTGCCCAGCAGCCCCCCGGCTCGCGCCAGCTACGCCTCGGTGCTGACCCTGTACAACACCTGCTGTTCCATCCTGCTGGCTGCGCTGTCAGCCATGGCCCCCGACGAGGACCCCGACGGGGAAGATGAGCAGGAGGGCCCCTCGGATTACAAGTGCACGCTCTGCGAGCAGTTCAAGGACAACCCGCACCCCTGATCTCCCGGCCACCGCTGACCGGTACAGGCGGCCGCTCAGTAACGGTGCAGCTTTTCAGTTTTAATAAAGAAATGCAAGTCTGAGGGAGGAAATAAAGAAATTCAGCAGGACCGCGAGTCTGTGCCTTTCTCAGCTCGTACGACACACGCCCCAGGCCGGGATGGCCGGGAGGCGGCGCCCGGCCCAACACACCTGCCGGCCCCTCTGTCCTTTGCTGGAGCGGTGGTGGCGCGTGCCCCGGGCCCAGGGTCTGGCCGGGGAGGAGGGAGGCCAGCCCAGGAGGTCGGGCCCCGAGCTGTGGCTGCTGACTGAACAGAGCAGCCTGGCTCCTGAGCTGGGGGGGGCGGGGGCTCCACATTCACAGATGCTCAAGCGGCAGCATCTGCCGGGGGGGGGGGGGGGGGTGGAGCGGACAGGATACCAGGAACTTGCCACCCCGCGGTGTCCAGAACCCCGAGCCCCAGACCCAGGGGCTGGCGAGCAGGCCGGCCTCCAAGTGGCGTCTCCCTTCTGCGTGGGAGGCAGGCCCACTGCGCCTGCCCGGAAGACGGCAACATCTGGGGCAAAGCCCTACCAGCAACATCTGGGGGAAAGCCCATCGTGCTCAGAGGCGGCACCAGGAGAAACCGGGCTCCGGAAGGACCTCAGGGATGTACTGAGGGGCCTGCCCGCGGACGGGAAGCTGCTGTGTGACCCACTGAACACTCAGGCTTCGGGAAGCAGGGCACACCGACGACAGCGGCGTCAGGAGGACGGAGGGGGGCTCTGGCTCCAAGCTGACGTCCTGTCCATCAGGAAGGAGGCCATGCAGGCCGTCCCTCAGGCCCTGGCTCAGCGGCGCTGCCAGTCTCTCCGCCAGGTCCTCTGCCGCCGCTCGGAGGTCCTGGGAGTTCTCCCAGACGCCTCTGTCGGTACCACCCGGAGACGGGGACCAGAGTTGCTGGCCACACCCGGACGAGGACTGGTCCTGCCTCTTCCTAAAGGCCCCAGGCCGGGAAGCTCAGGCAACGACGCAGGAAGGTGCTCACCCGGGGGCCCGCTCCCCAGTCCCCTGCCCTGCTCCCCGTGCAGGGCTGGGCTCGTGACCAGCACTCGGGGCGCTCTCTGCAGCCGGGAGACGGTTCAGAACGACGGCGGGTGGCTGGGTCTCTGTCGCTTGATGGAGACAGCTTGACAGCTGAGTCTCTGTCGCTTCCTCTCAGGAGCCCTCTCCTCAGGCCTCCCACCCCGGCGGCCAGCAGGGACCAGGTGCTCGGGGATGTCCACCTGGAAGACGCCCTTCCCGCCGGGCCTCGGGATGGGCTCCAGCAACCAACGGGGGTTGGAAAGCGCCGTCAGGTACTTCTGCCCCAGGCCGCTCAGGACGGCCTGACTCTCCAGCTCCCGCAGCTCAGGGGGAGCCAAGTTTTCTGGGCACAGCCAAGTCTCCCCGACATCGACGAGCCCTGCACACGAAAACAGAGGCGCACACATGTTTGTCCCGCCCAGAAAACCAAGCCCCCCAACCAGGGGCTGCAAAGTCACCACACTGGGGACCCAGAGGCGGCCAGCAGAGGGACACGGGGTGATGGTGGTCCCTGTCAGTGAGCCTTTCCCAGGGGATGGGGCGTGTGCGAGGCCGGGCTGGTGGCGAGACAGAAGAGCAGAGGGTCTTGTCCTCCACGACCCACCCTGGGCCCGGGCGGGTGCAAGTCAGGCCAGGTGAGGGCAGCAGGCACAGGCGGAGGTCCCCACCACCGGGAGCCGTCCTGTCCCCCAGCACTTCCCAGGTGACAGAACTGACAGAGACCTCCTCCACCAAGGCCCCGGGGGGCTTCCCAGGACCCGCGGGCAGGAGGGCGGGCAGACAAGGTGAAGCCAGCCAGGTGGCTGAGTCTGAGGCCACCCTAGCCCACCCCGCGCCGTGCCTGTGCTCCCTCACGGCCTGTGGCACACACACGCACACGGTGGAGCCCACATGTATGCACAGATGCAGCGGGAACGGTCCCCGCCTCTCAGATCACAAGGGGGACCTGAGGCCCAACAAGGAAATGTTTGCAGGGGTGGGAACCTTGGCCTCCACCCTCACCCTCAGGGCCCCTGGCTACTCCTTGGAAGCTGCTCTCAAGGAAGCCCCGCCCCGCCCGCGCCAAAGACCAGGGGCCACCAAACTCCCGAGCAGGGCCCTGGGGTCGCCCTGCAGGGGTGGGCAGGGCTGGGCAGAGGGCCACTTGCCAGCTATGACTCCGCGGCCAAACTTGTCTCCTTCCCGAAGCAAGTCCTGCACCTGAGCGGGGGTCATCCCCAGCCTCTCCAGCAGCAGCTCCCTCCAGGCAGCGTCTGCCCAGTCCCTGCGGGCAATGTGGATGGCGATGGTACCGTTCTCATGGCCGCTCAGCAGGGGACGCCAGCGCGTCTCCAGGGTCTTGACCCCATTGAGGACGAAGCCCGCGTAGGGCTGCCGGAAGGACAGGCAGTGGAACTTCATCCCCGCGGCTCCGGGGGGCCTCACGTGGCCTAGGGAAACAGCAACAGGGTCCCCAACGCGCCCCTGTCGGTGGCCCCCAGCTCGCGGCCGGGGGACCTGACAGGCCCTGTGCCGGACACCCCGCTGGCCTGGGCAGTGGAGGGAGCCACACTGGCCGCTCCGCTGTCACCAGGCTGTCAGGGGGCAAGCGCCGTGGACGGGGCTGGCCGCAGGGCTGACTCTGTCCTCTGTAGGAATCTGGGGGCGCTCGCCAGGGGGTGCGGCAGCTGGAGAAGGGCGCGGGCGGCACAGCCTGGGGTTCGTGGGACCACAGAGGCCACGAGCCCCAGGCCCGCGGAGGAGGGAGCCCCGGCTGTCCCGCCCAGTCTGCGGGCACAACAGGGACATCCTGGGCTCGGCTTCCTCCCAGGCCCCATGTCAGCTCCCTGAGGCGCCACCAAGAAGGCTCGGAGGGTCCCAGGTCTCCCAGGCGGGACCCGGGGCTGCGGAGCACCCGTCCTCGGGGTCCGTCTGCCGACTGGCCCTGGGACCCCCCTTGACCTCCAGGGCCCCTGTGGTGCCCGCGCCCCCCAGCCCTCGCCCAGCGCCACTCTCCACCGTCCGCAGGCAGCCGGGCCCGACCCCAGGCTGGAGAGGGGAGAGGAGCAGGACGCTGGCTCCGGGATCACCTCCCGCCTCCCCGGGCGGGCGCGGGGCGGCGCTGAGCCTGCGCAGCGGCGGCCGCAGACAGGCCCGTCCCCAGGCTGCGGTGCCCCCGTCTGCGGCCGGCGCGGCCACTCCTGCCGGCCCCAGCGAGGAGCCCAGAGGTGGGCGTGGGGACGGCGCCCCCGGCCGGCCGAGGCGTGTGTGCCCTGGCGCCGCCGCCCCGGGACGCGGGCGGGCAGAGGTCCAGGCTCCGGCCACCTCACCACGGCGGCGGCCGCGCGGCCCGGACGGACGGACGGACGGAGGGACGGACGGACGGACGCCCCTACCTGGCGCGGCGCGGGCGGGGCGTACCCCCACCGTGCCGGCTGGGCGGCTGCGCGGGCAGGCGCCCGGCGGCTACGCAGCCACGTGATGACGTCACCCCGCACGCGGCGCCCCGGGAGAAGCGACTGGGTTGCCCTGGCAGAGGCTGAGGGGCAACGACCCTGACGGGGTGGGGCGAGGGTGCCACGGCCCGGCCAGGAGCGGGACCCGAAGGAGGAGCCGGGCAGCCGGCGGGGCCGGGAGGGCGGGGCGAGCGTGGGCGGAGCTTCGGCGAGGAGGCGGGGCTGTGAGGCGGTCGGGGGCGGGGCTGGGCGCTCTGGGGCGGGGCGGGGCGCCCGCTGGGGGCGTGGCCAGGGGCATCTAGGAGCTGCTCGGCGCGGGCTGGGGCAGGAGCGCCAGAGGCTCAGAGGAGCTGGGGCCGGGCTCGGGGCAGCTTCTGAGCTGGCTGGGGGCGGGGCTGTGGCGGAGCCTGGGTTCAGTTTTGGGAGGGGCGGTAAAGCAGGAAGGGGTTACCCGACCTCCAGGCTGGGAGTGCAGCTGGGGGGTGCCTTGCTCCCTAGTGGCCGGGCCTGGGCGCTCTGGGTCTCCCTGGGGCGCCCGGGCGGCGGCTGCTGCGTCAGAGGGTGGAGACCTGTCTGAGGAGTCCGTGGTGCCCAGGCCCTCTCCCTGTGTCTGGTCCTTGTTTCTCTCCCCGCTGGGCTTCTGATGTGGGTGCGACAGGCCCGCCCTGCTTGAGCTCTCAGGGTGTTTCTGCTTTAGCCACCCCGGGAAATCCTGCCTGTGACCCTGGTCCACTGCCTCAGTGAGGCTACTTGTCAGTCACCGAGGACAGTCGGGTCCCCTTGGTTTTCACTTTGTTAATCAGCCTGCATTCGCCCCACCCTGCCCTGCAGGTCATCTAGGCAAGGCAGTGACTCCCCTTCCCTTCCCAGTGCCCTGTGGGGTCATTTCCACAAGGCTCGCCCAGCAGCTCTCACCCCCGGCCTGAGAGGGCTGCCCGCCCACCAGCCCCGTTCTGGCACAGGGGCTGGGGCCCGGGCCCGGGAATACCTGCCACCCTGGCCCTCGGGAAGGCCCTGGTTCCCAACGGGGTAGCCAGGCCCAGCGCTGCCCAGGCCCATCTACCGCCTGCTCCTGACGCCCCGAAGCCACCGCAGCTTGGGTCCTCTGGGAAGCAAACTGGAGGGGGGGCTTGGCGCGTGGGGGCCAAGGGGGAGAAGTGCCCTAAGGGAGCGGTCAGGAAGCAAGCAGAGCCGGGTCCAGGAGCATCATCAGGCCTGGCCGGTCCCGTCAGGGGCGCCAGGCCTGTCAGAGGCCCCTGGAGGGCACGCGCACCTCACAGTCCTCAGGGCCGGCAGTTCATCTTCTGGAGGAGCTGGAAACCGCGGGGCTGAACCGTGGCATAGGAGGTAAGGTCCAGGTGGGCAGCAAGGGACGCTGAAGGGCCAAGGGGCTGGGCGGCTTTAGGGCCAGGGGTCCTGTGAGGCGGGTCTGAACGTAAAAAGGGTCTCCTCAGGCGGCAGTGGGAGGAGCGAGGCCTGACAGGGCCAGACCCATTCAGGGAACCCAGAGAAGGGCTGAGGCGGGAGCAGGTGCCTGTGCGCAGCGAGGAGGCTGACAGAGGAGGCTGGGAGAGGAGGCTGGAAGTGTAGGCTGGGAGTTGAGGCT